TACATATTAAAACAATTGAATCATGTCAAGATCTGCAGAAGACTCTGCATGGCAATATGGGGTCAGACTTGATCCCAACAAAAAAGACAATTATTTGTAATTACTGCCAAAGAGTGATAAGTAGTGGGGTACATAGGTTCAAACAACACTTGGCAGGGGTTAAGGGAGATGTTTCTGCATGCAGTAGTGTCCTTAGTAATGTAAAAAAACAGATAGCGGCAATTCTTAATGCTAACAAAGGTAAAAAAAATTGCCAAACATAGGATGAATGAGGAGATAGCTGGTTTATATACGCTATCAAGCAGGAATGATAAAGAAGAGCAATATAATAATGACCTAGAAGAGCAATATAATAATGACTTGGACATGGCCACAAGATTGAGTTTACATGAACAATATCAGAGGAAACGTGGGTTTAGAATGCCCGGTGGGTCTAGCTCAGACATGCATGATGGGTCTAGCTCAGACATATATGGCGGGCCCAGCTTAAACATGTATGGCGAGCCCAGCTTAGACATGCATTGCGGGCCCAGGTCTAGCATGTATGGCGGGCCCAGCTCAAATATGTATGGAGGGGTTGGTGGCAGTTGGTGGCAGTATGTGTCAACAAGAATTAAACGTTGAAGAAATAGTTCCTAACTTATCTAAGAGTGTCAGTATTGCAGGTCATGGTCGTATAGACTCATTTCTCTCAAAACCTAAGTCACAACATATGACCCTAAAAGGCATGGTTAAAGGTACAAAAACAATGTTGGGGAGATATGTTGGTAAATGATTCTACAATAAAGGGATTCCCTTTGATGCAGCCAATAGTCCATATTTTCCACCTATGGTCAGTGCAATCCAGAGAGCAGGGCCCGAGGTAAAACCCCCGACGGCATATGAGCTCAGTTGGCCAATATTAGATGAAGAGGTGGAGGAAAGTACTAAGTGGATTGAATAATATAAACAGAATTGGCCAAAGACAGGCATTACTCTCATGAGTGATGGTTGGTTGAATAAAGTTAGTAAAAAGGAGGCCTATTCTTCAAAAGGTACAGTTTTTTTGTCTAACAAAGACGTATCAAGAACGAAGAAGGATGCAAACTTCTATGTACGACTATATGATCAGATAGTGGAGGAGGTAGGAGATAAGCATGTAGCCCAGTTTATTACGGACAATGCACGTTCATGTGTTTCTGCGGGTAGCAAGTTGATGGATAAGATGAAGCATCTAGTATGGATGCCGTGTGCTGCACACAGCATCGATCTTATGTTAGAGGAGATCGAAGATATCAAAATTGTGAAGGAGACTCTAGATGAAGCAAGGTTGGTGTCGAGATTTATATACAACCACTCTAAAATATTAGTTCTGTTTAGAGAACACTCTAAGAAAAAAGAGATAATCAGGCCTGCCATAACCTGCTTTGCGACCGATTACTTAGCTGTGGACTCCATTCGAGAATCTGAAGGTGCATTAAAGAGATTGTTTACCTGTGAAAAGTGGTTAAATGACCGCCTCTCGAAGTCCAGTACTGGTATAAAAGTGGTCAGCATAGTCTCAAATAGGAGGTTTTGGTCTCGATGTTCCAGTGTCGTAGAGGCCACTGCCCCTTTGGTCAGGGTGTTAAGCATGGTGGATGCTGACAAGAAAGCTACCATGGCCATCCTTTATGAAGGTATCGAAAGAGCGAAATCAGCTATTGGGGAGAAGTGTAGTTTTGCCAGCAAAGTATCGAGATTATAGAACGGAGGTGGAACACCAAATTTGAACATCCAATTCATTATGCAGGTAAATATATATTTATATCATTAGAATGTTTCATTGTAAATTAATTTTTTATGAAATTTTAAATGACATTTTTCTATCGATATATTTTCCAGGTTACTTCTTCAACCCAAATTTTTTCTATTTGACACTTGAACATCCCCACAAGATTATGGAAGGGGTCAGATACATTATTGCCAGGTTGGAGAGAAGCCATCGAAACCAGGTAGCAGCAGTACAAGAGGTATTATTTAATGTTTGGGTAAGAGCCTTATTGAGTTGTTATATTTTTTTGAAGAATAATGCACTAAAACGAAATATATTTGTTTTAGCTTGCTATGTATAGGGATGCTATAGGATCCTTCGAAACTAGACTTGCCAGGAATTCTCGAACTAAGATGGATCCAGGTTATCCCCTAGCTAATATTTTGTTCATTCATATATTTAATCTTATGAATTGTTCTTACCCTTACAATGCTTTTGCATTTTAATACAGTTGAATGGTGGGAGATATATGGTACTGATGCACCTCACCTAAAGAGGATAGCAATCAAGGTACTCTCCCAGATATGTTCTGCTACTGGCTGTGAGCGCAACTGGAGTACATTCCAATGGATGCACACTATTAGAAGAAATCGACTCGCTTCGGAGAAGCTTCATAAACTAGTCTACGTTCATTACAACTTAAACCTCCGAGAGCAACAAATAAGAAGGAAGCTTGAAGGCTATGGGCCGATAGACTTAGACACAATATTTGTCACAGACACAACAGACCAATGGGTAGTAGAAGAAGAGGAGCCAGTGTTGCACAAGAGAGCGTTCCTTGAGGCTATCAGTGAGGAAGATCTTGAAGAAGGTGATGAACAGCATGAAAGAGGAAGCAGTCAGCCAACGTATCCACAATTCGTCGGAGATGTCGGTGATATTACACCTAATGAGGGAGAGTGGGAAGGGGGTCTAAGGGAAAATGAGAGAGATGATGATTGCGAGGCCACCCTATCCCACCTATATTATTCACATATCGAGTCCCAACAGCAACAGGGTAGGGATGAGCACGATAGTGTAGGTGAGCATGAAGGATGGACAAGCTTCGGGGATTTTGGATTGGGAACACAGCAAAGCACTCAGGGATTTGGATATAGTCAGACGCCTGCTAATATCGATGATTCGTTTTTAGATCAAATCAATGAATTGTCAAACAAATTCAATCAATGGCACCGGCGTGACCAAGAAGAAGAACGACGTCGTCTGTCATTTTAGTTTTAGATCGTATGTTACTAATTGTATGCTTTATTGTAGTCTGTGTATGTTGATATACTTATTCCATGATAATTCTATGTTTATCCTTTTGTGTGATGTAAATTAAATGGTAAATAGTAGTTCATGCAAGGAAAGAACATATCAATATTCTCATATTCATGCAAAGAAATGAAAATTCTTAATGGAGTACCCTCATTTTTTATTGAATTCCTAAAAAACAATATTTATAATAAATTTTAATTATTTTTTCGAATTTTTTTGAAGCTTTAATCTGATCAATTCACCCGATTCTCGATCCAGATCGCCGATTCGTCGATCCGAATCGATTTTTGAGGTGCCCGATCCGTGTCATCAATCCGCTTTTTAAACCATTGGTTCCAACAATCCAGCCCCTTGCCCTCATTTGCTCCCTCTCTCATTTTCTCTCCCACACCCAACCCTCTCTTTTTAGCTTTAAGTAGATGGATCCCAAAATTTTAAATAGTACGCTCCCGAGGGAGCATAGTATTTATGCTAAAAAAAATTATAAGGAATTTGACAATTTCAAAATATGGGTGTTTCTATTTTAGAAAAAAGAAAAGAAAAGAAAAAACAAAAAAGAAATAAAAGGGAAAACATGGCATTTTATGCATGCAAGTTGCTCTACCTCCATGTCAAACTCATATATGGTCATTATAGTTTTTATGAGGCCTCACATCATATACCCATCTAGAAAGCACTTTGTGTATCGAAAATCTCCATGATGGCTATAAAATCAATTTTTGATATTGACTATTAAATTTGAAGCTAAAAACGATGATAAAGATCTTGTAGATATGTAAACACCTATTTTAAGGGTAAAATAAACTGATTTAGATAAGGACCCATTTTTTATGCGGCCAAGCACGCATACCTATTAATAAATCTATTTTTGAGATGGATTTTAAGACTTAATTTCTAAGGACATATAATCTATAACATGAAGATCATGAATATACAAAAAAAATAAAATTAAAAATAATAATTCTAGTAAGAAAACGTTTAGACCGTTAGTTTCCATTGTTTTTAGATTGAACACTTATTTGCATCCATCTTTTAAGATGACTGGTTTACACTTTTTGGACTGCATATGTAGAAATGTGGTCAAGCCCACACGAGACAATTTTCCTTTAGATAATTTGTTACAATATATGCTACTTTTAAGTTTGGGTGCGGTTTGTATAATGTTGCAACATTAAACAATCCAATTAAGGTGCACTTTAAAATTTTAACATAACATTTAATTTTGTTGTAGCAAATTCTTAGTATTATCTTAAAATCAATTTTCATACTTAATTAGAAAATTTTAAATTTCAAAAATAGTTAAAATTAAGTAGATCTATAAATATATGAAAATCTTGAAAATGGATGGTCTAGATAATGTGTTGCAAGATGCCCTATTTCCCGGATTCAAAAACTTTTTTTTTTCATATTCATACATCTCGATGTCGGATGATTGATTAGACTATTTTTTTAATATTAAGACAACATTTTCGATAGATTTTTTAGGTGCATATGATATTCTACATTTTAAGGTTGAAACCTTATATAAACTTTTCTTTTTAAGTTTTAAGACTCGACATTGACTTAAAATCATTATTTTGTAATAGCCATGACAATCAAGAGCATTCAAGGTTTACCAATGCCAAAACCACAATTTACTCGTTTAGATAAAGATGCAGTCCATCAAAACATATTCCTTCATCAATAACCACAATTTACTCGTTTATATAAAGATGCAGCCCATCAAAACATATTCCTTCATCAATAACCACAATTTACTCGTTTAGATAAAGATGCAGCCCATCAAAACATATTCCTTCATCAATAAGTAAGAGTGGAGTGTCGCCGGAAAGTTCCCGAATCGCGCCCCACCGCGTTTTCATGACTTAGGTATCGCCGGAAATTTCCCTAACCCCGCGCGACCGCGTTTTCATTCGCAACGCTCCACTTTAAAAATACCCACCCACAGATCTCCGTAGTCCCCATCTTCTCTCTCTCTCTCTCTCTAAGTTCTAGGCAATCGTAACCCCCTTACACAAACCAACACATTCTCTCTCTTCTGGAAATGTCTCTTAAATTTACGAAATCCCACCTCCCATCACAAAAACCTACACATTCTCTCTTCCGGACCCTATCCCTCTCCATTTCTCTCTAAAATTTCTCTCTCTCTCTCTCTCTCAAATTGGCCTCTCCATAGATTTCTCGTCTTCTCTCACAGAAACCTCGGAATTCCCTTTCTTCAAATTCTCGTCTTCACCGGACATTCCCTGTCCTCCTTCCTTCGAAAGCTCTGTTTCAGAGAATCTCTTCTCTCCTCAAACATTCAACAACCTGCAAATCCCCTTTCTCTCTCTAAAAAAATCCCACCTAAAATCTCTTCTCCCCTCAAACATACAAAAGCCTACAAATCGCCGTCTCTCTCTCTCTCTAACCCCAGCCATGTCTGGTTATAGTGGGGGCTACGCCCCTTCTGCCCCTCCCCTACCTGAATCTCAAGGGCATGAGAAACCCACTTCTTCTCACTCTTACGAACAGAACCCACCTCCTCCTTCTCACTCTTATGCTCAGATCCCACCTCCCTCTTCTCACTCTTATGGCGGATCTCCTGTAAGCACTTCTTCTTATGTTTATGGTCAAGGCGATAAGAAACCCACTTCTTCTCAATCTCATGAACACAAACCACCTCCTTCTTCTTACTCTTATGCTCAAAACCTACCTCTCTCTTCTCACTCTTTTGGCGGACCTCCTGTAACCACTTCTTCTCATGGTTATGGTCAGGTTCCATCTAGTTATGGCCGTGGCTATCCTTCTTCATGTCCTTATTTTTCTTCTGGTCATGGAAGCAGTGTGAGTTTTCCACCGGGCACTCATCCTGAGATTATTAGGAGCTTCCAGATGGTGGATAGAGATGGGAGTGGTTTCATTGATGAGAATGAGTTGCAGTCTGCTCTCTCTAATGGTTATCAGACCTTTAGCCTCCGGACGATTCGGCTTCTCATGTTTCTCTTCAAGCGCTCTGGTGATGCCACAAAGATTGGTATGTAGTGCTCTCTCTCTGGTCAAGTGTTAGTTAGGCTCCCCTGAACAATTGGTTTGAATCACATGGGTGATTTCTTTGTTCATTGTTCATTGTTCATTGTTCATTGTTCTTGTATATATTTGTTTTTGTTTTTTTTTATGGCTTTTTTCCTTTTTTTTTTAAGAAATCGCTAGTTTATTTTGATCACGTAGCATTATTTTCATGTAAACTTCTACAGTTTTTTTTGGGGGATTATCTAATGGTGCTTTGTTTCTATTTTGAATTCAAATGGACAGGGCCTGCTGAGTTCGCAGCACTATGGGAATGCCTTGGTCAATGGCGTGTAAGTAATTTATTATTGGGTTCTAGTTTTGGGTTTCTTAATACTTATGTTCTGAATTTCTTTAGTATTTTTTCTATGCATTATAATACTAAGTGAGTGGTTACATTATTAGGTGTGGCATGCAGTGTTGAATGCCTCTTCTTATTGAGATGTTCCTGAGTAGTGAATACATATGTTCTTATTGGGATGTCACTGTACACATGATTTTAGCTGTTAATGCTATTTTGTATTGTCGTTGTTGTACTTCTTCTTCCACATTTTCTTGTAACTAGCATTCATATGATATTATTATTACTTACCACAAATCTTAAACGATTTAGGACGTTCCATGATTTTTGCAAGCATGAGGGTGGTGTAAAAGAAAACTGTCAGCAATTTCCTCGCACCCTCCTGTTAACACTTCAATGATATAACTGCATCTAGCTTCCATAGTTCATCACCTTATTAAGATCATTCTTTGATGCTATCATTTATCTCATCTCTACCTACCTACATATCCAAGGTTTTTGCGGTGATTTTAGATTCTACTGTGTCTCTTCAAGCAAAATCCCGAACGGGTAAATCATTAGGCAAGTGTTAATGCATTATCATATGACCACATTAGATCACCATAAAAATGCCTATATAGAGTTCACTTAAAATCATTTCCTAGGAATAGGGGAGTGTAGGAATTAGAAATTTGTACTTTTGAAACTCGGTATACAAAATAATATGCTGCTAGTGGCAGGGAGGACATTTACCTCATATGGCTATCTTATATCATACCGCTTCGTTATTGGATCTCTCACCATCTGTAGAATGTAAATAGTTCGTGGACTGGTAATTGTGGAGAGTGAAAATAAACCAAAGGATTTCATTGGAATTGTGTAACTCGAATTCCTTTATACCAATCTAGATGCTTAAACCTTCTTTTTTCTGTTTAGCAAATTTGATGTTGGGATAAAAAAAATTTTGGTGCTTGGATTACCTAAACAGAAAGATCCCGATTGATTATAAGGGATATATAATAATGAACTGAAGATACGTTGACATTTGCCGGCCTAGGAGGAGGATGGATGGATCCTAACCTTGATGCAGCACAAAGAACTCTTGAGGAATATTTGGTTGAAGTGTTGGGATGCCAAGTAACCATATGATGGAACATAGAGAACTCTGAAGTATAATTTTTGTTTATGTTCTGGGAGTTATTTCCTGTGTTTTTATTGTAGATGTGTAAAAGTTGGGAGATTATCTGGATGAATAGAGGTATACTTTGATATGGTTTAATAACAAAGAAAAAAATTTGGATTTGTGGATCATGCTCTGCTGTGGTGGTGATTCTGACATGAATTTTTCAAGGCAATAAATTAGCATTCTAATTGATTGCTGATCTTAAAAAAGAACAGTTTCATTGTCTTTGATAGATATGTTCGTATTGCTTGCCATCTCACAGATCTTATTCCAAATATATGCAATCTTCAATGATAAGAAAAAAAGAAAAAAGAAAAAAGAAAAAAGAAAAATATAGACTGGAAAGCCTACATGTCAACTATTCTCACTGATAGAGTCATCTTTACTAGTGAAATGTCTAGAGAAGGATGGTACAAAAGATTTGAAGTCCATTAAAGATACAAAGATTTAGGCAATATTCTCCAAGAAAATCACATTTAAGGATGGGATCCACTCCTCTGTTCTGCAAATATGGAAAATCTTTTGGCCTTGGACCACCAAGTATGGAGATGAGTTCCAATATAGATTGATGTTTAACTCCCTCAGAAAGCTACCACCCATTGGTGCACAACTACAAATTAGAATAAACTTTTATCGCAAAATACGATTTATTACTTAGTCCTTTAAATAGGACCAGGCAGGGGATGTAGTTTGGTTACCTCACATCTGAGCTGGTTTTTTGGCTCTTAGATTTTTTTTTTTTTGGGGTGGGCGGGTACCTGAGCTGGTTTTTTTGGCTCTCTCTTTCTCTCACTTTTTTTTGTTTTGTTTGAAAGCTGTTTCCTTGGCTTTTAGTTACACCAGGTATGTAGTCATAACAGTAAGAGGTATTTGCACTATGCAATCTCTTTGGCAGGACACATCACGGTGACGTTGTTGATATTGTTGGTTTTCGAACAATTAAATAAAGTTTTTAATGTTTGGGACCTTTTCTGTTAAATATTTAATATTTAATACCTCTCTTTAATCTTGTCCTTTTGATAGAGAGAGGGAGAATCAGTTTTTTTAAGGTTTGGGATCTTTCCTGTTATTCTCTCTCTTTTTATTGTGTGTGAGAGGAGAGAGAGAGAGAATACAGTGCATAATCATCAATTATCACCGTGTCTTAAGTGCTTTTTTGGCTTTCCTTCTTCAGGCTATATTCGACAGGTTTGACAGAGATCGAAGTGGGATGATAGACTCTGGAGAACTGCGGGATGCTTTGCTAAGTCTGGGATATGCTATACCACCTTCAGTTCTTCATGTATTAGTGTCCAAATATGATGAGAGTGGTAAAAGGGGGGCCCTTAATTTCGACAGCTTCATTGAGTAAGTTATCTCTCTCTTCTCTCTCTCTCTCTCTCTCTCTCTCTTTTGTTGTGGCCATTTCTCTCACATGATTTGTGGCTTTATGTGCAGGTGTGGACTGATAATTAAGGTAAGCCACCAAACTCTCTATATGTCATTGTTCATTTGCTGCAGTATTTTCTTGGTGCTAAAAGCAATGTTAAAAAATTTGGCTTGGACTCGGGATATGGCCCCTGCCCTACCTGTGTAACTCAGGGATATCCAATTGTACTAAATCATCAACTTGAACTGTTGCAGGTGTGATATAGTCATAAGGCATTCTGGTAGGAATGCTGGCAGCTTTCCTGAGTCCATCAAGAGCCCAAAAAGGCTCAGAAATTGCCAAAAATATAGAAAAGTTTGTTAAAAATAAATAAAAATTAGAGAAAAACAAACGAAGTTATAAACATCATTAAGAATCTATAAAAGATGGAAATAAGTTCATAGAAGATGGATTATGAGAAATGAATTTCTAGCTTGAAGCAATTCAGAAAATCCAAAAAAGGGGAAAAATAGAAATTTAGAGCATATAATAAGAAAAATTCACAATTCATCATAAAAAATAAAATGTATATAACACATTTATACATTTATTGATGATTTAGTGTAAATTTTTTTATTTTTTAAGTTAATTTAACAAACCTGATTGGCTTACAAACTCGCCTTGGCAGGGTGTCCAGGCCAAGGTACTCATCTGAGTCCAAGTTGAATCTGCTGAGTTTTGAAACACGGTTGAAAAGCATACTTAACAATAAAAAATTAAAAATGGGAATAACTTCTATTTTTGGAAAATATATAATAAGAGTCATGCTGCGTTGAGTCAAATCACTTGAGTCATTCAACTAGGGTGACAAGCAAGCTTATTTCTTTTTACTCTATTCTTCAGCTGCAAGCTATTTTTTAAGAACACAAAACCCCAAGTTCAAGAATGCAAAACCGCCGAGTTTTATACCAACTTGCATTATGTTTTCTTGACTCCGCCGAGTTTTTTCTGTCCTTTTACTTGCTTTTGCAGAAATTATGGACTTTCTTTCTCTCTCTCTCTCTCTCTCACATACATATTTTGGTGTAGGTCGTTTACTCTCATAAGTTTTGTGGTGGGAAAGAGTGTGATTAAGAAACTATGAATTGTGTGTGTGTGTGTGTGAGAGAGAGAGGGAACTGTTGGAAAGCATTGCTTTAACATTTTTTCATTCTCTCCATAAAGATAACATTTCTATCTGGGATTTCGGGTTAGATCTGTATCTGATGTTAATGACTAATTAGGGAAAAGAATAAATTTCACTCAAAAGAGTCTGAACTGAGTTTGGTTTTTTTAGTTACTTGTTAAAATCATATTTATCGATAAATCATTATGAAGTTTTAAGTTTTCCATTGATTCCCATGTTCCCTTTTCTTTTTCTTTTCCTCCCATACAGGGTTTGACTGAAAAATTCAAGGAGAAAGATACGCGTTATTCAGGATCTGCTACGCTAGCCTATGATGCTTTTATGTTGATGGTCATCCCCTTCATTCTTTCATAAAGGTTTCCTATTGCTTTCAGGACATTGAGATGTTAGGGGAAATTGGGAATGATATATATAGCCTTCCCTGTCCTAATGCATCTTTTTTTTGTATATAGCTGGTGGGGAGATTGGATATTGTTCGATATTCTTGTTGGCATAATTTACAATGGTTTGGCATATTGGTTTGGGGTGATAAATGGCTTTTGCAGTGACATAAATATCTCTTTTGTAGTGACATACACGGGAGCCGTGGCGATCCTCCCATATTTTTTGTGCCAAATTTATGTGAAAAAAATCTTGTTACGGACTTGATGACAGACCGCCACAAGCATGCTTAGTCCGTGACGGTTTTTAATCCACGCCGTCTGAAAAAATCGATGCTAAGTCCATAACGGTCTTTAATCCACGCCGTCTGAAAAAATTGATCCACACCATCTGAAAAAATCGAACGACATCGAGCCTATGGGCGAAAATACTGTTCAT